TCGCGAGCGCCACGAGGGACACGCCCGCGAGCCCGCACAGAAGCCGCAGCACGCCGTAGCCCACGCTGGTGGGCCGCTGCGCCGGCGCCGGCGGCAGGGCGGGGAGGTGGCCGTAGTGGCTGGCGGGGAAGGCGGGGTGGCGGTTGGTGTTGGTGTTGGTGGTCGGGGTCTTGTACGCGCCCGGGTCGGGGCTGTTGAGCGGGATGCTGATGTATGCGGGTGGTGGGAACTCGGGGCCCGCATCGGCGGCCATGTCCTGTGACTGCTTTCTCCGGGTGGATGCCATGGCTGCTGGTTGCACCTGTGATGTGGTGGTGTTGGCGGGAGAGAGCTGAGCGTGTGTTCGGCTTTTTTGTGTCTTGCTCTTGGATGGTGGGCAAGAGATGGAGAGTCGCCACCGTCGGGGGAGATGCGGACGTTTTAATATACCTTTGCCACGCTGCATCTACAAGACGCGGGCTGCTGTCCTCGGCGGCTGTGCTGGGACTGATGTCATGCCCGCCACTGGGGTGAACAGAATGCCGCTTTCGAGTGTCTTGGCTTCTTGACCACCGCTACCATCATTTCCATTCTTTTTTAGCTCACATTCCTTGCTCCGGGAAAACGGTGAAACGAAACATCTGGGCTGCGCCCATTGCGGCTACCTACAACTGTGCTAACTTTGGGCAAGCCCGAGCGGGTATGTCCGCAGAGCCCCAGGCCATCGCGAACTGCTACTCTACAGGGCCCCATGTTTGATGGTGGGCCAGACAGCCTGTGCGTGGGGGGGATTTACCCCGGCCTGATCTTGGCCTTGAAGGTATTCCCAAGTCGGTAAGGTTTATTTTGTTTTTGGATAGTAGTCTTTATGCCAAGCGAACCCTTTTCTGTTTGCACCACCCATATAAAGATAGGTATTACCCAGCACCCAGGCAGCTGGCTGGTTAGGTGAACCCTGTTAGTTACCGGGATCTATCTATGGCATCGACGTACAAGCGTTTGATCAGCACAGGCTCCACTCTCGCGTGGGACTTGACAGGTAGATCCCGACTTTAATTAGGCGTGGTCATTACTCGCCTCGCCTCCACGCTCGTCAGTTTTATTCCTATTTTTAGGCCTTGACATACTTTGTCCATTTGGATGTTATGCAAAACACGTCCATCGCGCCCCTATCGCGGTATTCCCACCCCTTCGGCGCAGACTTGTGTCAACCTTACTTTATCTAATCCTCCGTTCAAGTTCGTCCTTTTACTCCTCACCCGATCCTGCCTTTTCCGCCACAAAGCCTGGAATGTGCCTCGCACCACAACCGAGCATCAGCCTAGCTATGCATTCCTTCGACTCCTGGTCCCCGTACCCCTTTGCACCGGCAGAAGCCACACTGCAACCATCGTCATCCGTTGAGTGGGCACTGGCGCCGCGAGCCAAAAGTAGCCTGCAGTTCTCGTCCATGCCCGTGTACGCCGCCCACCATAGCGGGGTCCGTCCTCGCCGGTCCCTTGATTCGATATCTGCTTGGTGATCCAGAAGGAGTCCACACATTTCTGGGGTACCACATAGGGCAGCCCACGATAGCGCCGTCTTCCCATCTTCATATTCCAAATGAATATTCGCATACATACTCACGAAGCGAGCGCACAGCTCCCCCATTCTCTTACAAGCCGTTTCCATCAATGCTGTTTTTCCTCCCCCAAAGCTCTGCTAATCCGGGCCTGCTCCCAACTCCATGAGAATCTCGCAGCATTCCATGTCCCCTGAGTGAATTGCCATCGTGATCAGTGTTCTCTTATTCATGGCCTTGCTGCCTTGGACCAGGCACTCCAAGAACCGGCCTATGATCAGCTACGTCCAGCGCTCCATATCCTTGTCGGTGCTTTGCATCGACGCCGTGAAACCCCACCTGCATGTGCGGTAGGATTCCAGCATCCGTAGCTGAAGGGTCGAGTTTCTGTTGTTGCAAAGGAGCATGCGGTTGACTGGCTACTTGATAGACCTTTAAAGGCTAGAAGAAGTGGTGAAGGTGGGAAGCCCTGGGGCTCTATATGCTAGTGCCCGGAAGAATAACTACCGAGCACTAGCCTCCGCTCCCGAACCATCGGCCTATGGTACCTGGCCAGGCCTAGGGGGCGGTCGGAAAGATGCTGCGCTGAAAGTCCGCCGGGGCTCGGTGCTCGCGGTGGGCTGTGTGAAGTGCAACAAGTACTTCCTTCAAGTGGGCTTGCGACCGTGTCCGACACAGACCTTGATCTTGATAGCGAGTTCGAACGAGCATATAACCATTGCTCGGGTCGTTCGAGCCTGGCTTTGGCCCAGAGCTCTAATGAATCCTATCCAAATTTCACTGCCGCATCTTGTTTGTCAGCCTTTGCTGTTACGTTAGTAATGCTGTACGAGTTTCATAATCTAAGAGGCGGCTCCTCAAGGACAGTTTGCCAACCTTACCCATTCACGGTAACACACCAAAGGAGAAAGGAGCGAATTGTAAAAGGTTAAAAGCGGTGCACATTGGGCTCGCCATCCGTAACAGCCCCACATCAAGCGTGTGGGCAGACAGCGGCTCCAAGCTCTAAAGACTTTAAACAATAAACCATCGCTGCACTGGCAACCCACCAGCCAAGCGATGACTGATAACAACCCAACCCCAAAACCACTAGAACCCAAACACCAGTTCCTACCGTTCCGACGCCACAATGCAGTCGCCCATCGAGGAGTTTACCAGTCCCAGCCAGCCGAAGCAGCCACATGGACTCGCCTGCGATGCGGCAACACGGAATATCTAGCACGGGGCAGAGGCGCGGCTGCCATCCAAGCCCACATGCAGAGCTGAAGTAAGGGGGTGCCAAACTAGTCACCTGCCTTCACCCGGCTTAGAAATCCCAACGACCCCAGCGCCGCCTTGAAGGTCAGACCTGTCTCGGGCGAGCTGAGGGGTCCGGGCTTGGGCGGCATCCTCTGGAGATTCGCGCGCTTTTGGATGATGTCGTGATGCCCATTCGCAAAGAGCTGCTGCTTATGTATTAGCAGATCTTGGGGGATCAGGAGGTTTAAAGCCAAGTGGAGCCGAGAAAACGGTTAGTAGCTGTGAGCCCGGAGAACTGAGTTCCAAGCCCATTGGCCTTCGTAAGGAATGGTGGCACACTAGGTAGTACCGAAGTCGTCGCGCCATGTTCCCTAGCATTTATTACGGAAACGAGTGCTGTTGCAAAGAGGTAGTGTATGCAGTAGATGGGACGCTTGATAGACCTGTGCCCCTAAGGCTCAAGGATCGGGTGAGGGAGGGAGACCCTCGGACTCTATATACTGGTTCCCCGTTAACTACTGAGCTTCTCCCGCCGTTGGTCGAGGATTGTCATTGTATCTTCTCATAAATATAAGGTGCATTCACCGCACAGTAACAGGCTCTGTGGAAGGCCAATCCGGTATTAGCGGAAGACTTCGTTTGTGACAAGTGATTTTATGTTCATTTCTTTTGGTTTCATTTTCTGCTGTGCGGTTTTACATTTTACACGATGTAAAGTTGATTCGCTGGCAGAAACGTTGGTAAAGTTGATTCACTGACAGAAATGTTGGTAAAAGTTGATTCACTGGCAAAAACGTTGGTGAAATGTGCTTGTGCTGCAAATACATAATTAGCACCTTTCTCCTTTCAGATACTAGAACAGGCCTTTACATCGCCCTCATGCAAAGCATCCCATAGTACCACCTTCCCCAGCGGCTACTTAAGCCCGGCTCGCCACCCCTCAACGGACAAAATGGCACTCATCGTCCCACTAATCTGCACTGGAGTCGAGGAGCGACCAGCAATACTGTATGGGCTGTCGTATGACCCGATGACGAACCAAATCGATCATGGCCACAACGGGGTCGCCGCTATCCGGAAGTACATGGAAACATGGATGTTGGAAAAGCCGTCAAGCAATCCCAAATGGTTAGGGGTCGGGATTAAAAAGGAGTCGTTCGAGGAGGTGAAAATGTGGATTCTGGACGAGAATGAAGTCGAGGGGCGGGTCGTCGGCGTTCTCTGGGCCCTCGGGAGCTACAGGCCATGTGGCGGTATCCTCCCCAATGTCGAAGGCTACATCCTGTGGGAGCTACAGGCCCAGTACCGAGAGCTTGCCTAGGGGCCGGCGGGTTTCGACGGGGGGATATGGGAGACCATCAGGTCTCTCGTCGCCTTTGAGGTCCGGGGCAGAGAGTGAACCAGGAGCAGTTACAGTGCCACAAGCTCGCATCGAGGAAAGGAGGGGCAAGCTTGGTATGGAGGCGTGCGCTCCGGGGAAATTGATGGTTTTCGCCCCTTTTCTTCTTCACCACCTGTGCATGCCATGGCAGCTTGCCCAGGGCCCCAGCAAGGATCACGAGCTATTGGCAGTTTACTCTCCATAACGAGGAAGCTGATGGGCACTCTCCTATCCTTTCGCTTGTCTCAATGTTGAGTTTCGCAACCTTCTATTTCAAGAGTAGATTCCGGCCTGGGGCCTATGAGATCGTACCATTCTCATGGACCCGGTACTTGGTAGAGACCCCCAAACTCGGCAATCGCCATACCCATGCCGGTCTTTCGACTCTAGATCCGCTGAGCGACGACAAGACCAAGCAAAGCAAGACACTGCCAGAAGCGCCGCAGCAACACTAGCCAAAACCGCAACACCCGGCATGGAGGAAGTGCCGCTGCAAGCGTTGTCGCAGGGCCCGCCAACCAAGCTCCACGGAGTGTCGATGCTATGGACGAAGCGACAATGAGCATCGTGCACGGCTAGGGCGCCCAAGCCTCGATCGAAGCATGTATAAAAGACTAGGTCCTCAAAACATCGGCCAAGTTTCCCTTGACCTTCAGAGTCCGCAGTATCACGAGGCCTAAAGGCTGCCCCCAGTCACTGTCCCCTTCATCAAGGCGTCCATCGGTTTGGCCTACGAGAATGACAAGGAGATCATGTGGCAATTCAATGGGCCACCCCTGGGTAAAGTGAAGGATTCTGTCCAGTTCTACATGGAAATGGAGGGAGGTTGCTTACGGTCTCGCTGGCGAGTTCAATGAGGAGAAGTGGAACATCGTGGCGGAGAAGGTCCGACTGCGGCTTCCGCCCTTGGACCACTGAACCCAAGCCTCTCCCTGGACGGAGGCCAGCAGTGGCCAGGAAGTGGGAATGGCTGATAAAAGCAAGCCACTTACATGCCCACATAATTGCATTTACCCACAAGCACCTGATTCAACATGGGCGGTTTCATAAATGACAATAAGCAGTCTAGAAGACGGCCCCTAATTTCACGAGTGACTCCCTTTTTTTTTCATTCTGTGACTCGAGGTTTCCTCAGCCCCAGCGCAGTTGAGAGCGGTTGGCTGGCGGGCGCGGGCTGCGGTGGTGGCTGGCGAACGACGTTGTTTGTTGGGTGGGCCCTGTTCATGCAAACCAGGCCAAACAAACAAAAACCACATTCGCATCTTCATGCCTCGTGCACGGCTGCCCGGGGGGGGGGCATTCCTGTGAGCCGTCGCACGGCTGCCGGCCGGGAACCCATGGCTTCTTTAGCGTGCAGAGACGCAGCAGCCGCGTTGGGTAGCTGCAGCTGCATGCCATCCGGCTTTCCACTTGCATGTTTTTTTTTTTTTCTCTCCACTCTCAACAGCTCTGCCTGACGTTTCGCAGCGCGGCTTCTCCGATCCTGTTATTGAGCGCTGCAGGGGCCGCGTCGGCGGGAGTGGGTCCACCAAACCGCCGCTCTGAGTCGTTGGGCAGCTGCCGCTACCCGTTGCCCCGCCAATTGCCAGGCTAGGGAATCTGTTTACCGAGCTGAGTCTTGTCGCGGTGGAGCGTTTCGATATTAAATGAGCTGCAGCCCTTCCGTCCTTCTCCAACTTTCCGGACTCCGAGATTCACTGCCACCCCCTCCCCCCACCGAAGAACGAAAGCAAGCAAGATACCATCGCCATCACCCCAAGCCCAGCTGCCTGAACCGCCTCTTCTTCGCCAACATCTCTGCATAGAAACCAATATATACGCCCGCGCGCATCAGAAATCACAAGCTATTGCTCCTGCTCGACGAGAACGACCGACCTACGTCACGTCGCCCGGTCACGCCCGCACAAAACACCATGTCCACCGCTGCCGCCGCACCACAGAACGTCCTGGCCGCCAGGGACGTCAACGCCCCCATGGCCACCGTCGACGCCTCGACGGCCGACAAGCCCAACCTTAAGAGCATGGACTACCACCGCCAGGTCCTGGCCTCCAAGATGGAGGAGGAGAAGTACGCCGCCATCCCGTCCGCCCGCCTTCCCCCGGCAGAAAGAGTGTGCGGCAGTCGATACTGACAAGACAACACCTCCGTAGGACCAACCAGTACATCTCCCCCTCGGATAATATCATGAGCCCGTGCAGCGCCAAGCTCAACGCCTACCGCAACAAGCAGGTCGGAAAGTAAGCAAGCATCGCCCTTGAATCCCCGCCCCAAGGCCAGCTCCTCTAACCCGACTTCTCCTACAGGGCCAAGCCAAAGTCCCTCTTCGCCCAGGCCTCGTCTAAGAAGCTGAGTGGCAGCGGCGACGGTCTCTTCGGCGCCAAGCCCGTCCCGTCACCAACCTCGACCGTCAAGGAGACAGCCGCCATCTGAGAATCGTTGATCTCCCTTCACTGCCTTCAAACTACCCACTAATGCCACCGAGAGGGTCTCCCCCGTGCCCGCGTTGGCTTGCGCGGGGTGGTCTTCTCCCCCCATCTGTACCACTCACGACTTGTCTTGACCCAGGAAAGGGATCATGATCAACATCCGGATTTGCGGCGTTCTCGTGGGGCTCGGTTGCTAGTCCTCTTTTCGTCATTGTTTTTTTCTTCTGTTTTGTTCCTCTTCTGCCTGTGTCTTTCTCTATCTTCATTTTCTTTTTGTCTTCCCTGATTTCGGCGAAGCAGAATGTTTCTTGAAAGCCCCTCGGCGCTTCTCGCTGTCTGACGACTTTCCAGATTGGATAGCTTTTTCTGGTTCGCAGCAGATTACGCAGGACATGAGACATCTTTTGCTGGATATGGTACGGGAAGGTTATCACGGATGTCCTCTGGGACCGGTTTCTTGGGAAGTTTGGTAACGACACGACTTGATGACCACACTTCTAATGGAATAGATTGATGACTGGGTCTCTCATTACCTTTATGACGCATTTCTCATGTTTTCGGTTGGACGGGAGCGGACCATCATGCCTTCCACCCACTGACGATGTACACGACATCCTCGTCGGCGACCAAGTGCCCAAGGCCGACACGCTGAGGCACATGTCTAGCGCTGGCACCCCACACGAGAGCATATTTGAACGTCTCCTTGAGGGTGCGGTGGATGCGGTCGCAGACGTCCTCGATGGTGCTCTTGTTGCGCACGATGAGGGCCTCGCTGAAGTCCGGGTCGTTGCCCTTGCGCTTGGTGTAGATGCGGATCAGCGACAGCTCCTTCCAGCAGCGGTCGACGACGTCCTGGATGCCCAGGTCGAGCTCGCAGCTCATGACCACCGTATGCGGCTCGCGCGCCAGCTGGTCCAGGAAGTCGAGTGAGACGCTGTCGATCTTGTTGTAAACATAGAGACACTGTTTCGATTCGATTAGCACATAAGGGCGCGTGCAGAGAGGAACGGTCGTCGCATCTACACCATCGGAGGGGTAGGCACGCAGTGGGCATACCCTGATGTATTTGCGATGGTCCTTCATGACGACATCGATCAGGTCGTCGACGGTGGCATTCTCGTCGCGGACCAGCACCTCGCAGTTCAGGATTTTGTAGTCGCGCAAGATGTTGTAAATCAACTTCTCGTCCATCCGCTTGGGTGGTGACTGGAACGTGATCTTCATGCCGCCAGCTTTCTTCACCTTGAGGTAGATATTTCTGAAACCAAGCATCAGTCTCGGCTCGACAAGACAGCACGGGAATTATCAAATAGCCGGGTCTTACGGTGGCTCCCGGTTCAAGCGGATGCCGACGGCCTCTAACTCGGCCTCGAGCAGCGCCCTCTGCTCCGCCTTCTTGGTTGCGTCGAGTATCATGAGGATCATGTCGCTCGTCTTGGCGGCCGAGATAACCTGCCTACCACGGCCCTTGCCCTCGGAGGCGCCCTCGATAATTCCGGGCAGATCGAGAAGCTGGATCTCGGCGCCGCCATACTCGAGAACGCCTGGGATGGCTGTGAGAGTGGTGAAGGCGTAGGCGGCAACCTCAGATCTCGTCTTGGTGACCTTTGACAGGAAAGTGGACTTTCCGACGGACGGGAAGCCAACCAGTGATATCCTTGCGTCACCACTTTTGCTTACATCGAAGCCGGAACCCGGACCACCGCCTCCGCCAGGGCCGGGCTCCAGCAGTTGGGCGCGGAGCCGGGCAAGTTTGCTGTGAGGATGCAGTGTGAGCGGACCATATGCAGAGGGAAAAGGAATCAAGGGAATGCATAAGGCAGCGCCTACCCCTTGAGAAGACCAAGATGATATTCTGGGTTGACGAGACATCAACGGAGTGAGTATGGCTGACGGGTAAGTTGGCGATGGGCGGGCCGTTCAGGGGCACCCCTTAATCACAGCCAGGCATGAGCACCAGGACATACCAGTCGCCTTGTTCTCTAGATTGACAAAATGTTAGACAGAGTACGAAATAGGTATGACACTTGGGAACTTTCTTACTCTGGGTCTTCCTCATCTCATCTTCAATCCTGCCAGGGTTCGTGATGCGAGCTTAGCTTGGGTTCAGCAGTGAGCGCGGGCAGGGATTGGCACAGGTGGAGCAGGCGACGCACTCCTTGATCTTATCCGTGATGTTCACCATCTTGGGCAGGCTTGTTGCAGGAAGTCCTGCGACGCACACTAAGAAGATAGCAAACAGCGCCCGGGTTTGCCCCTATGTGCAAACCGCTCGATGCTGGCAGGATTTTTGGAATTGCTTGAAGCAGGTTGACGGAACAGCTCCGGCTCTGCACTCGCTCAGGAAGCAGCTCTTCCTGATTGACCCCGCGACTGGAGCGGCAGAATTTCTGGCCGTGTGGCGAGCGGGAACCTCGACAGCCACACTTGATCTCACCGCCAAAATTTCAGCCAGCATCTGGGTCGTCAACGAGAGAAAACGGGCCCGTGCATGGCGTGACTAATCCTTTCTCCACAAGCCGCGCTGGCGGGATTTCCAAACGCGACAACTGCGTCGCCGTCAATTCGTTGTCTAGAATCTCCATCCGCCATCTGCTCCACCAGCTTGACACCACAGAGCAATGTCCGATACAGAAGAGAGACAGTCGGCCGAGGCCACGGCGCTGGTTCCGACCAGCACAGACGGAGCAACAGATGCGCCCAGTGGGAACAAAAAGGTCAAGAAGATAATACGCGTCAAGAAGAAGCGCCCAGCAAGGCCGCAAATTGACCCAGCCCTTGTCAAGTCGGAACCGCCACCACAGACGGGCACAACCTTCAACATCTGGTACATCTTCGCATTCCCCCTCAGACAGACATTTCGCTCCCAAGATCCCTGCTAACACTTAGCTCACTTTAGGTACAACAAGTGGTCTGGTGGCGACCGCGAGGACAAGTACTCGTCGCAAACCGCAGCAAAGGGCCGCTGCCATGTCGCCAGGGACTCGGGCTACACGCGGGCAGACCAGGTCACGGGCTCCTTCTTCTGCCTCTTCTTCGCGCGCGGCGTGTGCCACAAGGGCCAGGACTGCGAGTACCTGCACCGGCTGCCGACGCTGCACGACCTCTTTAGCCCCAACGTCGACTGCTTTGGGCGCGACAAGTTCTCCGACTACCGCGACGATATGGGCGGCGTGGGCTCCTTCATGCGGCAGAACCGCACCATCTACGTCGGGCGCATCCACGTGTCGGACGACATCGAGGAGGTAGTGGCGCGCCACTTTGCCGAGTGGGGGCAGGTCGAGCGCTGCCGCGTGCTCAACACGCGCGGCGTCGCCTTCATCACCTACACCAACGAGGCCAACGCCCAGTTCGCGAGGGAGGCCATGGCCCACCAGTCGCTCGACCACAACGAGATCCTCAACGTGCGCTGGGCCACGGCCGACCCCAACCCCATGGCCCAGGCCCGTGAGGCCCGCCGCGTCGAGGAGCAGGCGGCCGAGGCCGTCCGCCGCGCCCTGCCCGCCGAGTTTGTCGCTGAGATCGAGGGCCGCGACCCCGAGGCCCGCAAGCGCCGCAAGGTCGAGAGCTCGTACGGCCTGCAGGGGTACGAGGCGCCCGACGACGTCCACTTTGCCCGAGGCGCCCACGCCGTCAACCCCGTCGGCAGGAGGGGATACGAGGCGGGGGCCGAGGAGCCGTCGGACCAGCAGCTTCTGCTTGAGGCGGACGGCGGCCATGTCCCGGCCAGGGAGGCCGTCTTTGGCGCCGAGGAAGCGGAGCCTGGGATCTTCTCGAGCAGTACCCTGGCGGCGCTGAGCTCGGCTAGGGTCAAGGTGTCTGCACACACAAAACCAGCGGCCGCAGCGGGGCCTCTAGTCGCATACGATAGCGACAGCGACGACTGATGGCAGGGATGGTTGGGCAATAATGATAGAGGACGCTTGTGATGCTCGAAAACCAAATTGTGTGCACTGTTATGCTATCTGTTATGCTGTATGTATATATAACATATTTCTAGAGCGGGTTTCGCATCATGATACCAAGAACCATAAAAATCAAGAACTTTTTTTTGCGGCGGACATAAGAAAACGAGACGAAGAAAACCCCTCCCCCATTAGCTGTTGAAAATGCGCGAGTACAGCAGCTCGTGCCTGCCGAGCCACAGGTCCATGACGGGCACCGTCTGGCCGGCCAGCTCGACGGGCGTGTCCCACTCGCGGCACACGGCGGCGTCGACGAGCTCGCGCACGCGGTCGCCCGCCAGCAGGCGCTGCGCCTGGTAGGGGCCAAACACGCCGGCGCGCACGGCGGCCGACACGAGCGCCTTGATGTGGCCGACCACGAGCACGGCCGCGGCCTCGCGCGCGCCCAGCCCGGCCGCGCGGCACACGGCGCCGAACAGCGGGGCCAGGTGCGCGGCGGGCGGCAGCAGCAGCAGCAGCAGCCGCGTCGGGTCGTCGCCGTCATCATCATCAGCAGTGGATGGTGGTGGTGGTGGTGGTGGTGCGGCCCTGACGGCGGCGGCGAACGAGGCCACGGCGGCATACGCGGGCGAGGCCTGCAGCGCCGGCGCGAAGCACCGCTCCCACACGGACAGCAGGGCGCGGCCCTGGGCGACGGAGGCGCGGCGGCCGACGGCGCACACGACGGTGGCGTCGAGGGCGTCGTCGAGCCGCGACAGGCGGTGCGGCGTGCGGTGGGCGGCCAGCGCGAAGGGGAGCGACGCCGACGCGAAGGCCGAGACGGACGCGGGCAAGAAGGACGCGAATGCGTCGTGCTGCTGCTGCTGCTGGTTGTTGCTGCTGTTGCTGCTTTTAGTGCCAGAAGAAGAGCGGGACCGGGAGTGCGCCAGGAACGACTCGAGCCCGGACGAGAAGGCAAAGGCGCCCAGCGGCAGGGCCGAGTCGGACAGTAGTAGCAGGAAGTGCGTGGCCGGCGGCAGGGGCGCGGCGAGCTGCTGCTGCGGCTGCGGCGCCGCTGCCAAGTCAGACGCAGCGTCGCCGTTTGATGATGCGGGCGGAGTGTCGGGCCGCCGTGGCTGGTGCAGCCGCGCCGCCCGCGCCTTGTCCAGCCGCCTCTCGAGCTCCGCGATCTCGCGCTCGAGCGCCCGCTCCTCTGTCGTGACCTCCAGGTCCATCCCGTCGTCGTCGTCGTCGTAGCCGTGCGGGCGGCTGATGATTGGTGGTGGTAGCGAGGCCAGCATGGTGGTGTCAAATTACAGTTTGGGGCTGTTGAGCTAAGCTGAGCACGCTTGCCGACTTGGAGTTCGGTCCCTGGTTTGCCTTGCTTTTTGGGTCCTTTTCTTCTTCACAATTACATGTACTCGGGACTCACAGTACCCCAATTTCACCACCAGCGGCAGCCCATTTTATGTACTTTTCCCACATGCCCACAGCCCACGTCAAAAACGGCAGCATTGTTTGACAATGGCACGAGCACCAGGCAGCTCTCTGGCAGCTCGTCCGACTCGTACGGAAAGTCTTGGCGAGCCAAGCACGGCTTCCCCATAGGCGCCAAACCCAGCAATACCCCAAGTCGAGTCGGCAAATGCAACTGCAGCATCGCATCGGGGTCCGCGGGACTGTGCTTGGGGCCTGTCACGCGCCGCCCTGCATGGTACTGCGGCCAATAGGGGCAAAAGCCAGAATGCCACCACTGCTCGCCATTAAGATGTCTACATGAGGGGAAGCTATCGACAAGAAATGAACCCCTGGCCTATATCCGACAACAGCTCGAGTCACGAGATCTTCCCGAGCCAAGACAAAAAAAGAATAAAATGCTGCAAGCCAGTACATACATGCTTCCAACCCCACGAGGTATCCATTCTCGTCAGTGAGGCGGAGTATCCGCCTCCCGCCTCCCGCCTCCCATGGCTGGCCTAGTACTCCAAACACCAAACAATGCGAAACATGACCATCCTAAAACATTTCTCGATGTCATCCTTCAAGCAAACCAAAATTCGCCAAAATAGAAGTGAAAAAGACAGCGAACATCCCAGCCCTCTAGCCATGCCAGGCCTCCAGCAATGCCACGCTGCAAGGTTTCCTAGAGAAATATCGAGTCACACGACCCAGCTCATGGTCGGATGTTCTCCTTGTCCAGCGCCCGCCTCCTCTCCTCCCTCCGCTTCTGCAGCCGCGCCATCGCTGCCGCGTGTCGGTCAGGTGGTAGTGTCGTGCCCCGCGTTGTGTTACCAACCGTCGCAGCCATGCTAGTGTCGGCGGCGGCTTCGGCGCGCGGGGCAGGCTTCGTGACGGCACCGCCGAGCCGCGCAAATCGATCCGAGAGCAGGTCGATCTGCGGCTCCTCCTCATCTACGCTACGGCGGCTTGGCACCGTGACGGGGCCGTTTGTTGCAGCGGGCGCCGTTCGCGTCGTCCGTCGGTCCAGCTCGGCGTCAGCAGGACGCGAGGACGGCTCCACTGAGCTGACGGGCCTGGATGTCGATGTCCTCCTGGTCGTGAGATGGGCGCGGGGTGTCGACCCTGCCGGTACACCCGCATCGACCGAGTGCCGCACTGGTTTGGGCTTGAAGAGATCGTCATCGTCGCCGTGGGCAACTGCACCCTCGGCTTGTTCCTCTCGCTCAGACAGCCCCGTGGCCGAATCTCTTCTGCGCCGCGAGCGTGTTGTCGTGCCTGTTGCAGCGCCTGTGAAGAAGCGTTGTGCCGTGCGAGAATGCGAGCGAAGCCGTTCCCGGAGGCTCGACTCGCCGCCACCCAATGCATCATCGTCGCTCGCAGCCGCTGAGGACCGCCTGAAATGGCGTGTCGCCGTTGGCTTAACCTCCTCCGGGGCATCGGACCTCGTTGTAGTCCGCCGGCTCGCCCGCTGGTGCCGTTCGGGAGGCTGTGTGGTATCCAGGTTCGGCTTGATCTGATCCAGGAGCCTAGTCCAGTCCTCCTTGCCGACATCCTCATCATTAGTTGCAACCCTGCGACTTGCTCGATGATGCCGTTCTGTGGGCCGGTCTTCCAGCTTCGGCCCGCGCCGGCTCGGCCTTGGAGTGGAGTCGTCCAAGTCGATAGGCGCATCGTCCGCAGGCGCCTTTGGCGGTTCATCGTAAGTTACTTCCACCGCGGCTCTGGCCTGCCTCCTGGTCCTCGGCTCCTCCCGCAGCGGCGTCGCGGGCTGGCTCACTTCCGTAGCCTTGTGCCTTCGGCCCACCATCCTGATGGGTGTGCCCTGTTCCAGCTCCATCTGTGTGACGTTGACGGTCCAGTCCACGTCGGCAGGGCCCGGCGTGTACGGTGTGAGGACATCGTCGCTCTGCTCCGATGGCTCCTGAGCCACCGGTATGGAATCTGTTTTGTTGCTCTCGAGGGCCTTCTTCAGCCTCGCTATCTCCTCGTTTTTGGCCCTCAGCTCCGCCTTGGCTTCCCGGGCGACTTTCCTAGACTCCTCTCGGAGTTTGCTGTGGTCCTCCTGCAGCTGCTCGAGAGCCTCGGTCTTGCGTCGGGCCCGATCCTCAACAACAGCTAATTTGGCTGCCGCATCTTTGGCCTTGGCCTTGGATTCGTCCAGCTCCGCCTCAGCTCGTTCTTTGGCCGACTGCATCTCATCCACGCGTCTCTCCACGGCCCGCAGGTCCGACTTGAGCCCCTCCAGCTCTCTGACCTGCTCCCGAGCGCGCTTAAGCTGCCGCTGCGACTCAATCAGAGCCTGGTTCGAGCGCGGTGAGACGACACGGCTGCCGTTCCTGCGCCTCGGGGTCTCTGGCTCGGGAGAGCCGGCAGCAGCAGCTGCTTGACCCTCCTTGATTATGGCCTCTAGCTCCTTAACCTGGGCTCGATACTGCGTGGCTAGCGTTGCCTGCCTGGTAAGATCTCTGAGGATCTCGGCTTGATCCCCACCGTCATCGGCACCACCACCGGCCCCATTCATGTGACTCTTCGCGATGCGACGAGTCAACTCTGCGACCTGGGTTTCCATGGCAGCGACCTTGGCCTGCTCCTCGTGCAAACGCTTGTTCAACTCCAGTGCCTCACCATCCTTGATTTTGGCGTATGACTTGGCCAAATTCTTGTATCGGACCAACTTCTCCATCTCGGCGCGCGCCTCGTCGTGATATCGCGTGTACTCGCCCTTCCAGAAGCGACCCGAGCCCGAGCACGGCTCGTTCAGGTCAACTGTGACGTCCCGCTCGCGGTCAGACGCTTCGGGCTGGTCGTCGTTATCCTCCCAAATTGCCTCGGCCAAATCTGATGCCCTTTCCTCCGCTGTGTCCTTGGTGGATGTAAAGATGGAGGCGGCCTGGCTGGGCTTCGTTCTGTCGCCGTCGGCATCTTGCTGTCTGGGTTGTGGCTTGAACTTGCGCGAGTTTTCCAGCTTCTCGGTCAGCGATGTTCGGGGCCGTCGGGCGGCTGTCGAATCCTCGCTGTCGTCGGCTTGGGCGGGCGCCACCCAGGGGCTGGGGAACTTCCCCGGGCAGTCGTCTGGCAGGCCGCTCTTGCTCCCATTCTTGCCATCGGCGGGGGCGACATCGTTGCCAAACGACACGCGCTTCCGACGCGCCGTGCCAACGCCGGGGGTGAGCAGGATGCTCTGGGGACGCTGTTTGGCGGGCGTGCCTAGGGCTGGCGCGTTGGCGGACTGTTGTTGTTGGGGCTGCTTCTTGGGCTTCTCCGACCTCGTGGCGGGTGCTGGAGTGCCGAAGAGAGCAGATTTCAGGGCCCGGGCGGCGAAGACGGGAGCGGGCGTGTCTGGCTGGTCGACCAAGGTGTCATCTGAAGGCGGTTGAACACTTGGTCAGCCAGTTCCAAGCAAAGGGCCTTCAACGATGAGGCAGAACCAACCTGGAGCTTCTGACGCGCGCCCGCCGCGATTCAACATCCAGCCGAGCATTCTACCCCGGACGCTGCAGTCGTGGTGGCTCGAAGGGGTCGGGTTTGCTAAACATTCAGGGTACCAAAAGGAAGAAGATGTATGTGGCTGCTGTTGTACCGATATTGCGGTGCGTCCAAAATGTTGTTTGCTGGGTTGTCAAGCTGAGGCTTCCAAGAGTGGTCGATTTCGCTGCGTGCTGGCGAGGAGCAGGGGTCCAGTGGCCCTGGTCGCGCTGGAGCTGAGCCCGATTGTTTACTTGATGGCCCCGCAGCTGCGGAGCGCGTCGAGACCAACGGGACCAACACAACAAGGCGACACGGCAAAATGGCACGGTGCGGTCACGGTGTAAAGTGGGTTCACACTGTCAGGCCGCCGCCTGTCAAGGTTCAAACCCGCACCATACATCCGCCCTGCAGGACGTCACTGGCTCCGAGTCGAAAACAGCAAACATGCGTCGATCCTGCATAGGGCCAGACTGCTCTGTGCAGGCCCCGCATTAGCCTATCAACCGGGGAGGGCGGTGTATCATGATTCTCTGGACGTCTAGAGTTTGCAAAATATACAAACGCTCATCCGCACTCACTTCCTAAACAGCCCCTTATTCTTTTCCTTCCTTCAGGCTCTTGCTCGCGTCTCATTCAAACTCTGTTCTCGCTGCCTGAGTGGTGTTGTTCCCATGTTTGATATGTCTAGATGTTCTGTAATTCTTATTTTCCAATCACAGCCATTTAACCAACGTTCTGTTCTCCTTTCCCAATGGCCTGCTTTGCTGTTCGCTGTAAATCGAACTCAAGCAACTGTAACCGGCACTGTCCAGCTCGCCTGGGCCGGGGCTGCCCCGCACCGTGCCTAAATCGATATCAGCCCTACCTATCAGGGAATCAAGCTGTCTGTTGCCCCGCCATGCCGCCTTGGAGATGGTGAGTGAAAGCGGCTGCGTCCTCAACACCGTGGAGTCATAGAAGTTCTCCTCCCTTCACCTCCATCAAGCCACACCTGTTTCACTCATCAAACCCACAAAGACAATGATCTCACCTTCGCTGTGCTAGGTCGCCACAGCCTGCCCAGGCTGTGATCTCCCGCTTGATAGTTGACTAGCCTTGCAGGCTACTACTCACCGTTAACAGCCTTGCCCATCTTCTATCTGAAGATACGAGAGATATCGACCAGCGCTCTACACACACTTCCCATGTTCAGACCATGAGCAGCAGCTGCCCTCGTCACAATGACAGGCAAACTACCCGCCCCCCACGGCCAGCAGCGGCGCCTCAGGACCAAGACCAATGAAGACAAAAGCTTCCCCGGCCTCAAACCGGCCGCCGGTGGGCCAACCAAGACTACTACCCAGTATGAAGAAATGCAGAAAGAGGAGTTGACGGTGCTGCGGGCCGTCTACGCCGACGACCTTTTCGAAGCAAAGGAGTCGCATGGTGCCTGGAAGAAGACGGAACCTAGATTTGACATTCGAATCAGGGCGTCCTCTGACAACGACGTCAACCTCAAGCTGGGCGTTGTCCTCACTGCCACCTATCCAAAGTCAATCCCTATCCTAACCCTCAAAGACTGCGACGGCCTGCGGGAGTCCACCTTCTTCAAGATACAAAAGTATGTTGAGAGGGAGCCCAAGGTCTTCGCCGAGCGTGAGGATGTCATGATCGATGTCCTCGTCGAGGGCATCAGGGAAATCCTCGAGGAGGCAGCCCAAGCCGAGGCTCAAGGACTAGAGCTGCCATCCCTCGAGGAGGAGCGTGCTGCCCACGAGGCGGAGCTTGCTCGCCAGGCGGAGGAGGAGCGACGCCGTCAAGAGCAAAAGCGCCTCGAGGAGACCAAGGAGGAAGAGCGCGTCATGAGCAGCAGGGTAGAGGATGAGATGAACCGTCAACGCGCAAAGAAACTGGAGATCCGCAAGAAGAACAGGAGCAGCCAGATGCCTCCAGACCGCGCAGTTGAAGATGCGACCGATGCTGTCGCCATTGTTTTCGACCAGCCATGCAGGCTAGTCGACGCAGCCGGAAACGACTCGCGGTTCAACACAGTCGTGGGAAGGACACTCTTCCGGTCCGGTGCCATTTCTAACATCTATCTGGTGCGCCCGGTGCTCGCTGTTGGCCTCGCCCGGCCAAATCTTGCCTTGAAACAGGCCGAGCTTAAGTCCGGTGGTAAGGATGCCGCCCAGTTCAAGAAGCAGCTACAGCTGCTCGAGTCCCAGCTTGAGCAGGCCAAGAAGAATCGCCACAGCAATCTCCTGGACGTTATGGAATTCCGGATGGAGAGGAGGGGCGACGGTTCAGTGGATGGGGCCTCTTCCTCGGATTGGCTTGTCAGCATCCTGATGCCTTTTGCCGAGCGTGGCTCGCTCCAGGACCTGCTCGAGATCGCAGGTGACATCAGTATTGACAAGGTGCGAAGCTGGACCAGGGACCTGCTCGAGGGTTTGAACTTTCTACACACCAACGGCATCGTCCACAAGAGCATCCATCCCGGCAACGTTCTCCTGTTCCGCGACGCCACCGGCTCCATCACGCCCAAACTGGCCGATGCAGGCTTCCAGAGGGAGATCCGCGACATCTGCCTCAGCACCCGGGCAGTGCCGTCGATGCGGGAGGCCAAGTCAGCTTACTGGTTCGCCCCCGAGGTTGCGAACACGGCAAAGCCGCACTACACGCAGAAAACGGACATCTGGGACTTTGGTGTCATGTTCCTGCAGACCGTCTTTGGTCTCGACGTTCCTCAGAGATATGAATCGCCCAACGACCTAAAGGCATCCCTCTCACTCTCGCCCGAGCTGGACGAGCTAGTGTCCAGCTTCTTCAGCGCAGAGTCAGCCAAGCGTAAACGCGCTTTCGACCTTTCTTCCAGTCACTTTTTGGCGACCAACGCCCCTGTCCTGGTCGACGACACACCAGATGTGCTTTCTGATTCGCCCTCGGTCCCGCGGTATACCGGACTACGAGCGCGGCGAGGCTCCGTAAGCCAAAACGCCGCAGTTCCGTCCCGGTGGGCGCGCGAGTGGATCGAAGAGAGCCGCCTTGGCAAGGGCGGGTTTGGCGAAGTCGTCAAGGCACGCAACGTTGTAGAGAGCGTTTCGTACGCCGTCAAGAAGATCCGCCTACGTGCCGACGAAAGCCTCACGCCAGTCGTCAGCGAAATCTCCGTCTTCAGCAGGATGAGCCATCCGTCAGTGGTCCGATACGTCGGCGCGTGGATCGAGGATATCATCGTCGATGGCTTCGAGTCAAGCGACGAGTCCTCGGGTAACCACGTCTCTGGAGACATCTCTTCCCGCGACGCAGGATCCTCGATCGAGCTTGGGCCTAGCCACGGCGCGCTGGACTTCATCTCGTCGAGCCGGCACGGCATCGAGTTTGGGTACGATTCTGACAACGACGATGCGGACACGGAAAACGGCGATGACGATGATAAAGGCTCGGGCGAGCCTGATGACGACGAAGAAGGCGAGGACGGCGAGGATGATGAAGATGAAGATGACTCTGGAGACGAGGTGAGCGGGTCCGAGGCTAGCGCCGACCGCGCGCTTGCCGCTCGCAAGAGGCGTCTTCACCAACGGCCGATCCAGAAGATGATCTACATTGTGATGGAATACTGCGAAAAGAGGGTAAGCGTTTTGGTACTCTTCCTGCTCACTCTCTCTGACTATAAGCCCACCTAACACACCTCCCTCCTAGACGCTACGTGACCTCATAGCGAACAACCTGTCAGACGACACAAACGAGATTTGGCGACTGTTCCGTCAGATGCTCGAGGGCATGCAGCATATCCACGCTCTGAACATCATCCACCGAGACCTGAAACCCGAAAATATCTTCATCAAAGTCGGCGCCGACGGCACTAACATGGTCAAGATCGGCGACTTTGGCTTGGCCACGGCCGGCATGCGCGCCGTTGATAAGAACTCGGCCGCGGCCGATATGGATGCGGGCGACATGACGCGGAGCATTGGCACCTCGACCTACCTCGCCCCCGAGGTCCGGTCAGGAGCCAAGGGCACATACACCTCCAAGTGTGACATGTACGCTCTCGGAATCATCTTCTTCGAGATGTGCTACCCACCTATGCTTGGAATGGAGCGGGCCATGGTCTTTGAAAAGCTCCGGGGAGCCACACCGACGTTGCCCGCCGACTTTCGCCCGACGGACAAGAAACCGAGCCAGGTTGTGCTCTCGCTGGTCAAGCACTCGCCTGAAGCAAGACCGTCGGCCACGGAGCTGCTCAGGAGCGGGATACTTCCCGTCGAGATGGAGGGCGATGCTATGAGGCAGGTTCTGGCGAGCCTGGAAGACCCAAACAGCCTGGACTACTACGACTACGTCTCAGCTTTCTTCAAGAGGCCGATCGACCAGACCAAGGACTACACCTGGGATCTGGGCATTGTCAGCAAGGGGCCGGCCGAGCTCATGCGCCTCGTCGCGGCCAAAGACACGCTTGTCTCGATATTTCGCCGTCACGGCGCTGTCGAGGTGCCCAGAAGCGGTCTCTACCCGCCCTCGCCCCTCCACATCCAAGGCAACACGGTCCGTGTTGTCGACAGCCACGGCGCCCTGCTCCAGATGCCGTACGATCTGATGATGGGCAACGCCAGGGTCCTGGCAAAGTGCACCTCATCGACCCTGGTGCCGCGTTCGTACTCGTTTGGCACCGTGTTCCGCGACAAGGCCAGCGGAGGCCAGCCGCACACGTTCGGCGAGGCCCACTTCGATGTGGTCACGGACGACGTGCTGGACCTGGCGCTCAAGGAGGCCGAGGCCATCAAGGTGCTGGACGAGATCATCGCCAGCTTCCCGTCGCTGTCCTCCGGCCAGATGTGTTTCCACGTTAGCCACTCGGAGCTGCTGCGGCACATCTTCGACTTCTGCGGCGTCGAGCGGGCTGCTGCCCGCAAGGTTGCCGACACGCTTAGCAAGCTCAACATTAGGGGTGTGACTTGGACAAGGATCAAGTCGGAGCTTCGATCCGCTGGCGTGTCGACCACCACTGTGGACGAGTTGCAGAAGTTCGACTTTAGAGGTAAGCACAGGATATGAGAGGCGCTTCGGATGTCTCGGTGACTAAAGCTGAGATACTTGTCCGCAGATACGCCCAGCAAGGTGTCGGCACAGCTCAAAACCATCTTCCAGCGCACCAACCACTTCCAGCTCTTGTCTCCCACCCTGGCCCACCTCAAGGAGATGTCGGAATACTGCAAGCGGTTTGGCGTGCGCACCAAGATGTTCATTGTGCCCCTCTGGAGCTGGAACGAGGTGTTCTTCGCGGGCGGCATCATGTTCTCGTGCCTGTTTGACAAGCGCAGCAAGGAGATCTTTGCGGCCGGCGGAAGGTATGACGCGCTAATCAAGGAGCAACGGCCCCGGATCAGCACTCACTTTGAAGAGCGGCACGCGGTCGGATTCGGCTTCACCTGGGAGCGGCTGGCCCAGGTAACCACGACGACGGGCACCAGCAAGGCCCAGCTCAGAAAGAGGGCCGCCGAGGAGGCCCAGGGCATCACGATACCGAAGCGCGTAAGTACAGGAAGCACGGCCAAAACCCCGCCTAACCACAGGAACCGCAGGAACCGCAGGATGTCCTCGGGGACAGGGTCCAAGTGCACCAAGGATGCTAACGACGTCGCACGGAGGAAGTGCGATGTGCTGGTTGCTAGCTTCGACCCGACGCTGCTGCGGACGGCGGGCATCGACGTGCTTCAGATGCTGTGGGCGCAGGACATATCGGCCGAGCTGGCGCGCGACGCGCGCTCGCCCGAGGAGTTGGTCACTAAACACAGAGAGGACAGCCACTACTGGCACGTGATTGTGAAGCAGCAGGACATGGTCAAGGTCAAGACTCCTGGGCGTAAGGACGCGCCAGACGCCGACATGCCACCCTCGCAGCTGTGCCAGTGGCTACGGGCCGAGATGCGCGAGCGAGAGTCGCGAACGTCAGCCGCGGCGCACGCGGTCGAGACCCACCATGGCTACGGAGCAGAGGGGCCGCACGGCCTACACCACCACCAGGTGCAGCAGCAGGAGGTGCGGGTGTTGATGGCGCAAACGCGGAGCAAGAAGTCGAACCGGCAGGCGCTGGTGGAGCAGGCGCAGGCGGCGGCGGCGCGGCTCGTGTCGGGGTTCCTGGCCGGGCCCGTGGCAGCCATCGAGACGACGGACGCGGTCATGGATCTGATCCGGTCGACGGCGCTGTCCGACGCCGAGTCGTGGCGCAGGGCCGAGCAGGCCGTCGGCTCGGCGGAGCGCAAGTACATGCGCGAGCTGCACGAGATGCTCGAGAACTTCAAGATCGAGGCCGCGTACCAGCGGCACCGCGGCGGCGGGGGCGCGGGCGGGAGC